TCGATTTATCTATTGGATGGAACCAATCGATAAATTAAGTGAAAATCATTAATTCATGCCCAGAATCGATTGCCATGCTGTCCTACTTGGGAAAAAGAAATAGAGGGCATTGCAGCTAACAAAGCAGATTTAGCCTTGTGAGTAATGCGGGATAGTGCATGTTTACTTTACAGAACCGGCAAATTTCTGGTCTAGTCAATTTACAAGTCCAATAAAGACTACTTATTTGATTAATCAAAAAGAAAGAGGGTTGTAAAATAGGTGTTAAGGGGGGGAAAAAAAAAAGGAGTCCTTTGCTGGCGCACATCATCAAATTTTTCTTCGCACAGAATGCGCAGCTAATGAATGTTTTACGGCAGAATATTCCTTAGGTGTCCCCCATAAGCAGAAGCAGCCCCTACTTCAATGCCCTCACGGTCTTCAGAATATGACGTCATCTGCCGTCGCCGTCAAGCTCAACGGGGCTTACCGTAATCGCTCCGGCCTGAAGCTGCAACCTAATTTCTTCAATCGTAAGGGTGAGAATTTCCCAAGCTAGCTGTGACTGCGTGCGAAAGCTTTTGACCGGCGTTTCAGGGACGTCGTAATGGTCTATGGTACCTCGACGACGTCGTTGAGCTCGTACCGTGAACCATGTTTCCGTGGGAAAATCTTCTGATGTCGTGTGTAGAAGGCTGTCATGTACCTTTGATAGACTTGAATGTGCTCTTTAATATGCAATTGGGCTCATTTGATTTGGTTTCAGTTCGAGATTAATTGCGTTTTGAATGTGGAGAGAAGTGACTTTTTTTTTGCCCCCCCCCCCTTGTAGAGTAAGTCGGCACTGATAAGTACGGCGCCACGGAAAGATGGACGTGCGTTGTCAGGCACCAAAGCAAAAGTACGTGCTTATGGAGGGAGGATGAAACAGTGACAGGGACTCGCGGATCCCAAGGGCATTTCCCACTCAAATGCAACTACGATTCAGTCCGTGTGGCGCTCTGACATTTCAATAGGAGAGACTTCTCACTCCTCCCGCATTTGTAAGGGATAAGGAGCATGAAGTTCAAAGAATTTGGTGAGACTTATTATACCGATTTCTGACGGGGTTCTATATCCGGACAAATTTAAATTACTAAGAAATATTGATGATGCCGAGTTAACCCGGTGTGAAGCTAGCATCGGGTCTTAATTTGCATGAACTTATAAAGGCTAAAGAAGGCAACACGATTGAAAAATGATTGTCTTTGATGTCTCCCTTAGTTTTTTTCGCATTTTCTGAGTAATATTAGGGCTGTGATAGTGAATTCTTACAATTGGGTCAGGGGTTTGACTTTGAAATTTCAGTAGAAACTTGGGACCAGTGAAATTTTAGAATTGGGATTATGCGCAAAGTTAGAGGACTCCAGATAATGATAAGCGAGGACGAGACAGGAACTTCAGAAAAAATGAAAATCGGTCCCGCATCGGGGACTCCTTTTCCTCCGCTAAGACTCATTCCGTTTTTAACCAAAAGGAGATGTTTTTCTTGGTCCTAAATTCTTTGCCGCTACAATTCCCCGTTTTTTGCGATAGCGCCGAAACTTGGTAACGTCGACGAGAAATAAAATAAATCCCCATATCAAACTTGCCTCAGATGAACCCCATGTGAGAAGCCGGCTTGGGAAATTTACGTGAGCTCCCACCTTTTGGGTTTCGACGGCAACGGCAAAAGAATCGTTCTTCGGCTCGACGCCTCTTATAGATTCCTTCCCTATTCAACGTCTTCCCACGGCTTGTCGAGTGATTCTGATGCTATCGTTTGCACTTAAATCCGGCATAATGTGAGCCGCGGGTGAGGAGGGTCGGCTTTCAAATAACATATAATTCATTTGGATCACTCAAGTGGAGTACTGCGGGGTTCTCTCGTCCACTGAAAGTACACTTCTTGTCTGGCAGCGTTGAAGAATTAAAGGGATTATCTTATGTGGGCCCAAAGTTTCTGCTCTTCCCTTTCACTCCGCTCTTCCCTTCCACACAGCGACGAAAATTTTACACGAAATCTTGAAAACCTTTTAGCTTTGCCCGATAACGTGGCGTCTACGGCGCTGCAAGTCTTGAGGGAATTCTCCATCTGACCATGTTGGCTTCACTAGTACGAATGTTGGAAGAGGAAAGTGAAAATCATGCACAAAATAAAGAAAACAAAATCAAGGCTAGCCTCGAAATCTGGCAAAATTACATCAGCGACGAAAATTTTACACGAAATCTTGAAAACCTTTTAGCTTTGCAGTGAGTAACTTGAGAATTGGCTGAGAACATGTGTGCAAAATGTAGTATAATAGTTCAGAGGAAAAATTTTGAACCCCCCCCCTCCTAGCCCATGGACTACTTTTCTTCTTTATTTATTCGGATATGCCGAAAATGTTGCTGATTTGGATGGTGATCATTAAATGACCGTTTGATGCTAAAAGCAAGCTCCGGGATAAAATGGATGTAGAAAAGCGTGTTATGAACCCAGAGGTGGGAGGTGGGCTGGGAAAGAAAAAGAAAGCAAAAGAAACCCCCGATTACGCCCTGAATAGGGACTCAGCCGCATCCACCTTGGGATAGAGAAGGGGCGTTTGGACGAGTTTCACGAACCTAACTCTAGTTGCTCCAGTGCCAATGACATTGGGCGCAATGGGACCGCTGCCTCAAATGCGCCCGCGCTTTTCAAGCAGCGCCACGTGGCAACCGACAGCGGAAGGGTGGGGCTTGCGGACGAAGGTGTGAGTTGCGGGTCGGACGAGCTCCTTGCGCCTTTGTCGCGCACTTTCAAGCCGCAAAAGGGGCGCGACATCAACGCTTGTCCGCCTGTCTACTACCCCCGGGATGGAACAGGCGAGCGCGCCTAATCCCGGAGCGTGCCTTTAGAACTCTGGATGAATAGAAGTATAAGGTATAAAGCATTCGGCGTTGATCAGCCTCTTCTGGGACGCGCCACGCATCCCAAACCCAATCAGAATCTTCACAGACAGGATGCGATTTGGCCTAGACTTGCGGGACCAGCCGATGCACAAGTGTAGCTTTTTTGGTTTTTATTATTCCAGATAAATATTAACTGAGACAGCTT